GTGACAATTATGTCGAATGGAGAGGGCTTATATACACCTCAAAAGTGATAAAAGATTTCTTCATAAAGCATACAGCCCAAATAATAGTTTAATTCGGTAAAATAATAATAATAGTCTACCGAGTATTTTTGTGAGAAAGAGTGTGCTTGCATGAGAAAGAGATATACGTGACGAGAGGTGATTGCGAGAGTAAATTGGCATCAACCAAATTTTCAGCCTTTTAGTAGAATTTCCGAAAAAGGTAATAATTCTATACTCTTTTAATTATTTAGATTTAAATGTGTATAAGGATCTTTGACTTAATATTAAATTAAATTCATGAGATGAGTAATTGAAGTGATATGAAGTTGAAATTCAAACATCAAGTACATAAGTATGTATATCATGATGTAGAAGTTAAGTTTATAATTGTATCTATGAATATAAAGAGTTAAAGTTGTTCAAGATCAATTATATGATATATGTGCTTGATTTGATGAGATGTTAATAAAGATATGAATAAGCTGGAAGAGTATGATTTAAATGAATGATTCTTATATAAAAGAGGAGTACATGAGAACAAGAATTAAGAGATTTGGCAAAGTATAGCTTGAGTTATGAATTTTTGAAGATGAACATGCAAGATGAAGTTTATGTTCACTATGACTTTAAATTCTCATAACTTGATGAATATACATGATAAAAATTATGAAATTTTGATGACATGTCTAATTATAAGTTGAGATTATGATGTTAAGTTTCATAATTTAAAGATGAGAAATGAATAAGTTATGAATATAAGAAGGTATATATGTAAAAATAAGTATATATGCAAGAATATTCATGAAATGTCTAAGTTGTTAAAATGAGATGATCATGAATAATTCTCATATAAGTAATGAGCAATTTGACAAAGTTTTAAGTTTAATATGTTGAGTATACAATTTTATAAAGATTGTATTAAGTATGACATATTAATATCAAGATTAAATGTTATGATTAAAAGATGATTATGGCTTGAGATTATTTTCACTTTCAAGTTAAATAAGTGAAAATTTAGTGTAAGCCAGTATCTAAAAATTGAGAAATATGATGTATGATAAATTAAGTATTTGATCAAGTTAAATTAAGATAAGTTATAAATCATGTTGATGATGTTGGTAAAAGTAAGCATATTTTAAGTTTAAATCAAGTATAATGTGAAAAAATAGTTATTTTCACATTTGAGTTATGACATGCTAAGTATAATACCATATTAATGTTTATGAAGACATGATTTATACAAGGTTAAGTAATTGACCTTAAGTATAAATAAAAAGAGAAGTTAAGTATAAACTTGAGAAAAAGCAAGTTTAATGAATTTCTATAAGATTTGGATAAGTTAAAAATTCTAAAAACCTTATTGAGTATATGAGCATAGTACTTAGTATATTTGTCTATATTTGATGTAACTTGCAGATACAGTACCAGTACAGCACTTATCGTTTTTCAAATGATTTCAAAGACAAAAAGGTGGGGACCCTGAATGGGTATCACGTTGAGTACGATATTGATGTCATATGGGATGAGGAGACCATCAGTTGTCTCAGAGTATATCCTAAAGTTTAAGTTTATTACGCTTGGGATGAGGAGGCATTAATTTGTTCTCAGAGATTATATCCTAAGTTCTGATGGAGGCCGTTAGGTGCCTTAGAAATATCCATCAGAGTGTGCACACGTATCCGATTAACTATCGGCAAGATAAGAGAAAAGTTTAAGTTACCGATCAGATATCGGTTTATGATTATCCATATTCGTTACTCACCCCCATGAGTTTTAGTTTCAGGTAACAGGTCGAAGAGGAGGTGTGAGTGGAGCAGTGTTGGTGTGGATAGTGGACTCAGATGAAGACAAGCTTTGATACGGACATTTATAACAGTCTGTATAATTAACCACGTTTTCAAGTATTTCCGCTATGCACATTAAGTATTGAACTTGCATTTTAATGAATTTCCTATTTCAAGTTTTTACCATTATGAGAAATATGATTATGGTATTTTAAATGCAAGTTTAAAGGAAATCTGTTTTAATTATGTATAAAGAAGTATTAGACAAAAGTTTAAAGATAAATGGATTTTCAAGATGATGAGTTTGAGTAGCATCCCGAGTTAGTCGCAAAAGATTTCGAAAGAATTAAGTATATTCGAAGTAAAAGTTGCGAAAAATTTACTCTGATAAGCGGGGGTGTTACAGAGCTTGTATGTGACATTAAGTAGGCTTATTGGGCGGACCTACTTAATGGTGTTTGCATTCTCGACTTTGGGGATAAGGGTGATCAAAGTCTGATTTACTTCGTTCGGGACCAAACCATCATGCCACACTGTCCGAATAAAAGCTCGCACTGAGGGACCCACAATCTCCCAGTTCTTCTTGAAAAACAACGCATTTAAGCCATCCATCCCGGGCGCTTTTAAAGAGCCCATGTTGTGGAGGGCTGCGTAAATTTCCTCGTCAGAGATGTCACTCTCCATAGTCATTCTGGGAAGAGACTCGGTGTCCCCCCTCGTCTCTCCGACGGCAGTCCAGCCATATAAGTACCTTTGAAGAACTCCGTAGCAAGAGTACAAAGGGCCTTTTGATCAGTAACCAAATTTTCGTCGGAGTCCAACAATTCTACAATTTTACACCGTCATCTTCGGTGTTTAATCTGTCCGTGGTAGTAGCTAGTATTTCGATCTCCCAATAACGCCCACTCCCGGGTAGATTTTTGCACTAACAACAACTCCTCTTGAACTATTATGTCATCCAACTCCTCTCGCTCAGCATGTCTTGGAACCCCGGGTGGAGAAGCCATGCGGCTAAAAACCTGAAAGGCTTGACTCCTAGTGTCCCAACACTTTGTCTGTCACATTTAATAAGCAATGGCGAGTTGTCGGATTGGATCCGAGGTAAGAACCGGACCCTCACCAACCCAAATCTCTCCAACCATGCCTCATTAGCTATAAAGCGGTCGAGTTTCTCTGCCACTCTTCCGTCACGGCCGTTCCTAACCCACGTGAAGCTATGCCCGTCAGTGGGCACCTCCTGAAGGCTGTTATTAAATATCAAATCTGAGAACTCCTGACTAGTATTGCAGAAATTCGAAAAGCCCCCCACTTTCTCCGAACAGTGAAGGAGACAGTTGAAGTCTCCCCCAATGAGCCATGGCTCCGTGATGCTCCTCGCCAGCCTCTCCAAAAAGTGGTCCAAAGCCTCCTGCGGATTGCGACACTAGGGCTCGCACATATAAAAGAGATCAGACATCCCTCGGAATGCTTGGATGCCTTAACATGAACTACCTGTCTGTTTAAAAATAAAATGTCTATCTTTACCTCGTCGTTCCATAGGATCCAAATTTCACCCGCAAAACCGCGAGCTTCAACTCGAAACGAGTTAGCAAATTTGCTATACTTGACAAATCTGTCAGCATTCATTCCACTAATACGTGGCTCAAAAATTGCTACGATATCCGGTTTATGTTGACGAATTAAGGTGGAAAAGGCAACCCGAAATTCAGGCGAGCCTGCACCTTGAACGTTCCATGTGATTATATTCATAAGGACACTATCAAAGAAGGAAGGAGACGATCACCATTACGCGAGGCACTGGATATTCATATCCATGTCCTCCTGTGGACCACTAACGGGGCACGCGGAAGTTGAACTTCCTTCTGGTCGACCACGCTTATCCGGGTCCTCCGGCCACGGTTCCTGCGTTTGGACAAAGTGTTCCCCTTCCTCCATTAATTCATCACCGACGGAGTCAAGGGTCGGGTTTGGCGGGAGACTTTGCTCGGGTGTATTTGTCTGGTCCTCGTCAACGATCATGGCACAGTGTTTATTCGGGTCCAGCCCAGCTCCCACTTGAATCGGCCCGGAAGATAGATGTTTATTACTCGGGGTTGTAAGCGCATTAGAGTTTTCAGAGACGACCTTACATTTTGGCAGCCCGGTGTTTGCATTATGGGCCTTAGTCGTGATTTGGGCTGAAGTGTGCTCATGTCCAGTCCTCTTAGCTGCCCTATTCTCCACCTCGCATATTTTGAGTCATGTGGTATTCCGCTGTGCTTTCTTTCCATTACGTGTCACCATACGCCAATCACTCACTCCTTTCCCCGCCGCACCTCCTTTTGGTGAAGGGGTATCCTTTCCAGCCGTTTCCTTGGTTTGAGCCCCGAAATTATCTCAAATTATCTTCCCCCAAATCTTCCCTCCCCAACATATCAAATCGAGATCCCGCCTTTGCGGTAACGTGCGGATTTTTTGCATTTATCGTATCTGGACCCTTACCACGCCGTGTGTACGGTTGTCTCGTTCGTTGGGGGACCTGGATCCACGGACCTTATACCGGCTCATCTCCTCCGGCCGCCGCTGCCGACGTTTGCGCAGATTCCCCACCTCCATGTTTTGTAGGCCTTTCTCGAGGATCTGGATCCACCACCGGGGACTTATCATTCGTCTTGTTCGGACTAAGGTGGGGGCATGAGATACTCGAATGTCCAACCCGACCACATTGGAAACAAATGTTGGGTAGATTCTCGTACACTACCCTTTGAGTCCTCCCGTTATTGAAGAAGCTAGCACAAAGGGGCTTAGAAATGTCTACCACAACTGCAAGTCTGGCAAACTTGCCTCGTGTGAGGGCCGCCGTTTGTTGGTCTATCTTGACCACCTTTCCCACAATTCTCCCTATTTTGCTAAAAATCTTGTTGTGGTATAGGTGTGCCGGCATGCCGGGTAACCTAATCCATGCGACCGTGTTAGTAACTTCCGCCTTGGTAGCGTCAAAATCAATAGTCCACAGCTGCACGTGTAAATATCCTCCTCCTACCACATATGGTCCTCCCGTAAGTGCCTTCTTCGCATCTTCTGAAGTCCGAAAATGGATTAGGTAGTACCCATTTTCAAGGTCCATCATATTACACCCCGCCATGGACCGCCACATCTTGGTTAAGCGATTATATAGAGAAGGCATTGTGATCGAGTCATCAAAAGGTTTAATGACTACCACGTTTTGCCACTCCTTGCTAACACGCTCGATGAAGCTCTTGGGAATCCGAATTTCCGGCTTCCGTCGAGAAAAATCCACCACGATCTCCTCCTCACCCTTCTCTCTACTGTCTCGACGGCATCGGGGTCAATATCCACGTGATCTCGGTGTTTGTTTACCATATCACGGAATGACCACCGTTGTGGCTGAGGCGGCTGGGGTCCCTCGGCCATAGGCGGCGTAGCAATTGGAATATGGGTCGGGGCTATAGGGTTCTTTAGAGACTCCCGTTGACGCTTACTACCTCTTGAGCGTTTCGAAGCCCGGAGGAGATTCGGAGACAATACTGGAAATTCCACATCTGGGCCGATCACCGGTGCACCAACCCCCGGATCAAAGGTTGCGGTAACAGGGTTGAAAACGCCGAGTATTTTTTCGCTGGAGAGCATTTTTAGGATAACAAACTTTGAACTAGATAAACTGATCTAGTTATTCTAGTTAATTTATAGTAAACTTATAGTGTGCCATCTATACTTTATGGTAGTACACTATTGCTATACAAATTCTGCTTTAAGGCAGAATAAACGTTTAGTTATAAATAAACGTTTAGTTATAAAGTTGTTACTGTTCATAGAATGAAATCGATCGCCTAAAAACATGCACACCAAAAATTGAAAGTTTACCAAAAGGGTACAATCGTCAATACATAAATTATAATGTCTAAGAGCATCTCCAATGGTATCTTGTCCATTTTGAGTTGTATGGCATGAAAGAATGAGATTAAGAATTTGTGTCTCCAATAGTTAATGTTAAAGATGATTTAGTTTGACATGTGTAAATTTATAATTGGTTGAAAAGAAGAAATAAATTGAATAAATAATATAATATGTAATAGAAGTTGTCTAGAAATACTTCTACATCTAGAAAGACTTCTAGAATTTTTTTAAACCGCATCGGTTTTCTTGTGCTATGTGACAATAAAATGCGGCAATCCAAATGCCATTGAGATGCTCCAATAAGTTTTACCATTTGTCTCACTCAACCAAAAAAAGAAATAAAAAACTGTTTTATTTATCTTTTTCTTATTCCAATTTGTCACAAAATTACTCCTCTGCACACAATTAAGTTAGCGCAAACTATTATTTCAAACTTACAAAAACATCCAGTCGTATTACAAACCTCATGACCTATAAATATATATATAAAGTTACAACATGCGCTTGTTGATCCAAAAAACAGACATTCGAAAAAGAAAAACACTTGTAAAAAAAAAAAAAGGAAACTATATAGTTTTGAAAGGCTTGTATTTCCGGACATCATGTGCAAGTCCTTGTATAGAACCAGCAGCTGCCACAATTGATACAATCAAACAAGCCCAGCTCAAAACCTTGAGCCAAATCCATGTGAAGGAGTATTTAGGTATCTTTGCTTGCGCAATGTGCATTTCGATTGGGAAATAGACAGTCAAAGGATAGAAGGAGGCTGCCCCAATCAATCCTAAGAAGTCGTTGAAAAAGGGGAAAATCATGGCAAACAAGGAAGTGATGACAACATAAACCGTACGCCACACCAGCCTGAAAAAGTTGATGCTATATGAGGTGTTTAGCAAAGAGTACTCGGCCGTGATGAATTTGCTACCGGGCCATTTTCTGTTGCACCACCCCTCCACAAATCCGAATATCGGTTGTGCGAAAACCTATTACGAAATGTCGTATATTTGTTAGGTTATGATGAAGAAAAAATAAAATAATTATCAAGAAAGTACGATTCAAAATTAAGAAAAATTAAAGTGTACTACACATGTGATGATTTTTCTATTAAGAAAAAAGATTAGGTTATATTTATGCTAAAAACGTGTATTATATAAAATTTTTAAGAAAATGTTATACGGTCCCGTAACGAAACCATTTCCTTACATCAAACTCCAATAAGAAACTGTCACATCAGTTTTATTTGACTACATCTAAGTGTTCATATCAAAACTAAAATATCTAATGACTTTTATTAATTTGAGGAAACTATTTCCTTACGGGACAGTAGCATTAATTCCCATAATTTTGTTATCCACATGGTAAAAACATCTTCTTCTTTTTTTCTTGTTTTTCTTTTTTTAATTATATAGGGTCCTACTCTTACTCCTACTATCTATTGATTTGTCATTCATACATGTGTTAGATGACTAACAAAACTTCTAATTTAAAAGACCGTGTGACACTAACACATAGATGAATGTTAGAATAACAGTATGACTATAACAAAGCCATACACCTATATATTTCCAAGAGAACCCATAAAAATATAGAATAGGAGATAAAAACATTGCTAATTAGTTACTACCTGATAAGCACCAATTAGGTGGATTGCAATGCAAACATTGGCAAAGTCGATCAGCCAATAGGGCTCGTAAAATCCAAATCCAGTGAGGAAATTTCCAGGCGCATCATTTCCGAAAGCAGCATAGCCCACGCAACCGCAAAGCACGTAAAATAAGGTTGTCGTTGATACCCCAACAAATGAAGCCCTTTTCATCACTTTGTTCTCCGGTGGATGTGATTTTAACGTGTCCTAAAAGATTACGCACGTTAATTCATCACTAAAATTAATGGAAATAATCGATCGCAATTAATGATATCTAGTTAGTTCGGTTTGAAAATTAGTATTCGATCGTCACTACATGTTTACCAACAAAAATATTATTCATGCACTCATATAATTTTTAACTAAAAAGCTTACTATTTTCATAATATTGAATCAATTTTAATCGTATAATACGTTTTTCTACTCTTTTTATCCACTTTATTCCGCGTGATAATTTTGTTTTTGAAAATTAATTTCTATATTCAATCCCACAATTGGTGGTTCTATGAGACGAGTAAAAGGTTTGGCCACTTGGCCTCCACTAATTGAACATAGCTTCTTATGTCCGCCGCATATTTAAAGGTCAATAGTACAAACCAAAAAATTGACTCTTTT